TTTACGTTTAGGGAAAGTAAAAACAGTTTAGAGATACTTCATCTATTTGCAGTAGAAAAATTGGGTCCTAAAGTAAACCCCCTCCCCCCGATAATGCCAAAGCACCTGTTTTACAAAAAAAAAATTAGCTTTCAAACGGCAAATTCAGTACGGCACACGATGAACGGGTCGCGCAGCAGTTGCAAGCGGGAATTGAACGTGAGGCGAGAATGATGAGGTATGTTTTTGACTGGTTTTTATAGAATTAAACGGATTAAAACGGTAGATAGAATTTTTTGTTGTTTTAGGGACTATACGTAAGCGAGCCTTTTTTTAGAGAGCTACAGCTGAAGCGTGATGAAGAATTAGCGAAGCGACTAGCCGAAGAAGAACAGCAGCGAGCCGGTGGCAGTCGGGTAGTAATTCTTATTCAATTTTATAATAAAAATATTTAGGCGCTATCCGCTTCCCCGTCGCCAGTTACACCACTTCGATTTGTTGCTTCAAACCCAGCGACATCAGCTGGTAGGCGGAAATGGTTTTTAAATTCGATTTTTTTACATCTTTGCACCTGCACCAACCTCTCAAAAAAGTTTCGATGACAAGTATAGTGCCAAAAAGTTAGCTAAAACGTATATTTTGATTATTTTTAATGATTTGACGCCCAACGGCACTTTTCTTCATTCCGCCACACTCTTTTAGCCATCCAACCAATTCGCGATCTTCTAACCGGCGACGACTTGGATTTGGACGAGTCTGTGCAAAATGAGCTCGTAAGTGCTGGGTCGTTTTTCTTGGATTGCATGCCTCCTTGGTTTCTTCAGAATAACATGGCTGACATCTCGAATCTACCCGCCGAGGAGAGCCTCATTTCGACGAGCGAATTCCCGAGGCACACCACCACTTTCGGGGTTTCTCCGGCACAAAGTTTGTCGCTTGCTTTTTGCACTAACCGCACTTTTATCAAACTATCGCAGAGTTTTTAGGGGCGTTTTTGTGGGTAGCGTCGCGTAGTTTTTGAGTATTTTCGTGTGTTTTAGGTGTTGCTTGTGTAAATGGACGTCCTTCACTATGGATTTCTTTTGTGGTACTGAACTGTTAGCGTGGGGGGGATAATTTTTTCCTCTATCAAATCTAAACCATTTTTATAGCTTTTTACACAGTTGTCAGGTACAAAAAGCCCTGAAAATGTTCACGTTTTTTGAAATCTTTGACGTGTCGGTCAAAAGTCTGGGAAAAATTACCAAAAATGGTCACATTTTTTAATTGTCAGAAATTTTTTTAATATTTTTTAGAATTTTCCAGCAACTATTTAAAAACTATCATAATTGCCCGCTAAGCCCCCCCCCCGCTAAGCGAAAAGTACCGGAAAAAGCGCCCAGGAGTGGCGTAATGAATTACGCCACGCGCGGCGGCCGCTTTTTAACAGTGTAATGGATTGCGAAATCCCACGGTGCGAAAAATCAATAGTTATGCCTTGCATTTCCCTTTAATCTAGGTGCGTGGTTTTCTGGCTTATCTAACAAATATTTTTTGCTCCATAACGGGTATCTTTCTAACTTCAGAATGATTTATTTTCACTTTTTCGAAAATTAGGGTGTCGAAATTCATTGTATCGAAATTACAGTAGGCAGAACTTGATTTTTCTACATGTTTATGGTGAATAAATTTCGACAAAATGAAATGTCGATAAATTCGAATTTCGGCATACAACTAGAAAATGTTTTACTCTAATCAAGTGTACGATTTTCAGATCAACTGGATGCTCAGCGGGGACCGCTAGGCCACCCCCGACGTATCCAAGGAGTTCCACTACCCGGCCTCGCCAACCCCAGATATTCCACTCCAGATGAAGCGGAAGACTGGCCCTCCCCGCCTCCCCAATTTACCCTCTCTTCCTCCCCAGAATCAAATACTCACTTCAAATCCCAACCCACCGTATCCCACCCAATTCGCTTCCACCAACCCATTTTTGGCCGATATCATGCCTCAATCTCAGTTTTCGCCTCAAAATCCGGTGTCCCTCCCCCCCGAGCTATGCCCAAACGAATTACCATCCCGTGGGAGCCACACAAAGTACAATCCCGTACCCACAGCCCTCTCAATTAAATAATATACCATTTTCCGCAAATCAGTTAGCCCAGGTAAGCCCATCACCCCCTTACCCACCGGCGCCGCCAGCGACAGCGAGCAGTACAGCTGGCCGGGAGCAGCAACAAGATTTTTAGTGAGTTTAAGGACTTTAATTAACAATTTTATCTGGTATTTATCTAGACTAGCCTGATTTACAGGACCAGACAAGTCACAGCTATGGATTTCCTGCGGTCTAGACGCGCGTGCTTTTACTTGAGCGGAATACAGGAATCCAGAAAATACAAATTTTTGGTCAAGAAATGGTCCATTTTCAAAATTGGGCATTTTGATGGATTTTTCCGTTTAAAAATAGTTAAATTATAGGTAAGAGACTGTACGTTTCGTATCTCGGCCCAAAATCCGTATCACTGCCTTGCCAAGCCCTTTAATTTGAAGGATTTTCGGTATTCAAATTACAATTTCAGTTCCGAATTCGGGCTGCCTCCACCGTCGCGGCTGGCCCTCGGGCTTCGCTAAAAGTTTTGAGTGGCATTTTCGTGTATGTATGTGATAAATTATATGGCTTTGTGGCGTTAAAATATACACTTTACTAGCTCTACAAAATACACTACGGGAGTACTGGGCTGTTAGCGGGGGGCGGGGGGTACACAAAAACGAACCCTACGCGTCATTGCTCTACAGAGAAATGCAGCAGTAAGCTAGGGCGCGCTTTAGACAACGTACTTCCCGGTCGTGTTTTCCCTGGGCCCGCGTGTAGGATTGTCACCCGCCTTCTTGACAGCTATGCAAATGTGTGTGTTTGTGCGTTGTGGGTGTCTGGGATGGGAGCAGCGAGCTTCTCCAGTCGTGGATAGGTGAGTCAAGTATGTTTGCGAGTATGGGGTGTGGAGGGGTTGGGCCCATTTTTGGCATCGAGCAATCATCGCCCGGGCGCCCGGCCAAACTTCAGCGGTCGGCAAACTTTTAGGTTCACGCGCCTGGAAATATCTTTTTGGATGGTTTAGGAGAGTTTGTTGAGGGATTTAGGTCTTTTTAAAGGACCCTGCAAGATATGTGAATGTTCCGGAGGGTTTCGCTGGGTCCGGTCTTCTCTGTTCATTTAAAATAGCTTTTCCTTTCTCTCTCGCTATCTCTCTCTGTGCCTTTCGCTCGCTTTCTCTCTTGCTATCTCTCTCTCACTTCACTCTCTCACTCGATCTATCTCCATCTCTCGCGCTCATTCTTACTCTCGTTCTCTCTATCTCTCACCATCCCTCGCTCTCACTCTCAGTCCCTCTCCCTCGCTCTCGCTCAATCTCGCTCCATCTCTCGCGTTCACTACCTCTCTCTCTCTCTCTCTCTCTCTCTCTCTCTCTCTCTCTCTCTCTCTCTTTCTCTCTCTTTCTCCCGAGCAAATATTACTGTCCCAAATCCGGGAGCGCCGCCTCCGAGGAAGCACAAAGAACGGTCGCTACTTTCACCCCAAATCCGGAAAGTCTCGGAATTTTTGCTTTCTACTCCTCTACCAAATCTTAATTTTCAACCCATATTTGACCACTCCGTTCACAGCTATATCCGGCTGCTGAATGCCCCTCTATCCCTCGTCTCTTCGGCGCGTCCCGCATCCCTCGAGTGTCGTCGTCGCTTTTTGCCCGCACAAGGGGGTCCAAACCGGTGGCTTTGTCGTCGAGTCGGGGGGAATATCTCTTCGGAATCATCCATTTTTGGAATTGGAATCGGAATCGTCCATTTTTGGCTTTTGTTATGCGGTAGAATTTTCGAAAATTTTAGCGGGTACCTTAAGTATCGCTCGCTTAATTGCCTTGTATTAACAAGATAGGTCTTGAAGACCAGGAAGTTGGAAAATTTAAGCTCGTCTAAGTACTCATAGTTACTCCCGATATTCGGGTATGGCTATGGATTTTTGGGGGAGCGCTAAAATGCCGACAACCAAAATCCCGACAGCCAAAATCTCGACAGTCCAATTCCCTACAGGCAAAATAACTGTTTGAAAGCAAGTGGCAAAAGCAAGAAATTGCCGAGGTTTTCGCTGTCGGCATTTTCGCCTGTCGGCATTTTAGCTGACGCTATTTCGGCTGTCGGCATTTTAGTCGTTGGGATGATGGCTGTCGGGTTTTCAGACAAGGGGAATATGGCCGTCAGGAGTTTGGCCTGTCGGGATTATGGCCAGGGACGTAGCGTAATACCGGCCCCGGGGGCCCGCCCCCGAAATCGGCCGGGGCCCGAAAATTTCATAAGGGGGGACCCTTATGATTTTTATTTTCTCAAAAATTTTGCTGCCTGCGGCGCTATTTTTTTACGTTTTTACGGCTATTTGTAGAGCTATGGAAACTTGTTTTCAAAAATTTTTGCCTGCGGCGCTGTTTTCTCGTTAATCTTTTGAGTTTTTGGAAAAATTTTTTGGGGGCCCCCCTGCCCGAAATTTTTTTCCAGCTACGCCCCTGATTATGGCCATTCGGGCTTTTTGCCTGTCGGGATTTTGGCTGTCGGGATTTTGACCTGTCGGCATTATGGTTGCTGGGGTGGTTTTCTGTCGGGATTTTTATTTTCGGGATTCAAACTCACGGCAAGGATATATTGGGATTTTCTCAGTCAGGGTTCTGGCCTGTCGACATTTTGGCTGTCGGGATTATGGCTGGAAATCAATTTTTTGACTAGCTCTTGCTCTCGCCTATCGTTTTTCTACGCGCAGGCACAAGCAATGAGCACGAGTTCCATTCTGCTCCATTCCACATCTGCAGCATGTTTAAGCGGTGCGTGAGCGTCACGTGTTGCTGAAAACGCCATCCAGAAAAAATTTGAAATCACGGTCAGCTATACAGTAACTTTTCCCTAAAATTTCCCACCCTCCAAATCTGCTATATAGTGGACACAAACGGGGAGTGCTACCCCCCCCCCCCCTCACCGTCGAGTGTATCAGAACTGTGTCCATTCAGCTGTGCGTTTTGAGCGCGTCGACCAAAAGGGGAGGGGGTTGTTGTCTGTATGTATTTGGTATGGAATGGAATGGAAAATGGGGGAGAAAGAGGAGGAAGGGGTGAGAAACGGGAGGAGGCACGAAACACGAGCCGCCCACCGAGTATTTGCATGCAAATTCCCCAGCGCCAGAAAGTTTTTCGCCCATTTTCCCCATCTTATTGCCGTCTCTCTTTCTTTCTCTCTCCTCTCTCTCTCTCTCGCTCTCTCTCTCTCTCTCGCTCTCTCTCTCGCCACGGCTTTCACACAGCCATTTTCCGGCACCACGGATTCGGTTTCTCCGGCAATCCATTCTTGGGTGGGGTCGGCATAGTAGCTATGCGGAATAGATAGGGCTAGAAGTACGATATTATACTGTTTCCGCCGAGGTAAAAATATTTGACTAATTGATTTTAACGTCGAAATTAAGTTTGAAAATTTACACGCCTTTACCGATCCTTTGCTTTAATTCTTAACTCTCTCTCCCTCTCGCTCTCTCTCTCCCTTTCTCTCTCTCTCTCGTGCTCTCCTGACGGCATTTGGGCTGTCGGGATTTTTGCTATCGGGATTTAGGCTGTCGGGATTATGGCTGTCGGTATTTTGGATGACGGGATTATTAGCCGGATTATCGCTGTCGATATTTTGCTTTTCGGAATCTCGTTTTGTCGGGATTTTTCCTATCGGATTTTTATCGCCATTTTGGTTGTCGACATTTTGGCTGTCGGTATTTTAATCGATTTCGGCTTTCGGACTTTTCTATACAGTGCCGATTGGCAGGGCACGAGTCCCGGGGGAGAGGAGGGGGCACAGAAAACGCTGTTATTTCGGGAGGGCTGCATGCCCGCGGGGCACACTGTGCGCTTCTCTCTCTCTCTCTCTCTCTCGCTCTCTCTCTCACTTTCCACAGGCCAATATGCATGCACAGATTATCGGCCTGCCGACGCGGGCGCCCCCTCTCTTTTCCCCCACAGCCGTATCGTAGTAAAAAGAGTAGCAACCAGCTACGGGCTGCTTGTAATTGTTTGTAGGGGGCTATGCATCGTGGGGATTTGGTGCAATTCGCTTCGGCTTTTCGTTTCGCTATTTGGGGCTACAGTCTAACGTAGCACAATCGGAAATGGGGCTCTTTTGGGCTTTGCTTTGTGTGATTTTGGGATCTATTCTACAGCTTTCCATGCTACATCGGCTCCCGCTTTAGACCTTAAACTTAGACTTAGGTTTGGTATGGCTTAGGCTTCAGCTTCGAAGCTCAGCTAGGAGGGAGCTTAGCTTGGGCTGAGGCCTTAGGGCTTGGGCCCATGGTCCTCCTCACGGTCTGGCTCAGCCTAACTTTGGCTTCCGGTGAGGACATGCTTTGGTTGAATTTTGGAAAAGCTTGAGCTTCGAAGCTTAATTTTAGTTTTAGCTTAGCTTTGGCTTCGGCTTCGCTAGGCTTAGGCTGAAGGGCGGTCAGGCTCAGCTTAGCTTTGGCTTCTGCTGAGGCCAAAGCTTTGGGTTAGGTTTAAAATACCTTTAGCTAGGGCTGAAGTCTCGACTTCAACTTTCGTAGGCTTAGGCTTGGCTTAGACTTTGGGCTTAGGCTTACGAGGCTTGTTTGGCTTAAGTTTAGCATAGCTGGCGTTTCCGCGTGCGCTGAAGCCCAGGCTTAGTCGAACTTCAAGCCCAAATCATACAAGCCCCAAATTTCGCTTCTTAGCTGAGCAAAATGCACATGTTAACGTCTTTTGAGCTCAACTACAAGCTATGATTGCGCCCTATTCCACCTTTACAAACCTCCCGAATTAGCTCCAAATCCCGGCCCCAGCTATTGCCATTGTCTGTGTTCCAAAGGGGAAGGCCTTATCTGGATCGAGCCCCTCCCTCTTCGCCCCCTGTTTCGGCATTCAATTACCCGGGTCCAGTCATTGGCCTTTTTCACGCACAGATAAAGACGAGGGCGGGGGCGTTTCGATGGCAGATCCGTGTTTGGAAAAGTCATGGGGCGTTTTCAACGCGTCTCGCTTTTCCACTTTATCGAACTGCCTTGGAAAAATGAGCTTCATCTCGCGCTCACTGTCGCCTCACGCTCTTTCTTCTCTCTCTCTCTCTCTCTCTCTCTCTCTCTCTCTCTCTCTCTATCTCTCTCTCTCTCTCTCGCTCTGCTTTTTTCGACACTGACCAAAGTACCCGGCCCAACTTACGTTACGCCATTTCTCCACCCGCTAGCCAATTCCTAACAGCTGTTCCAGGCGTCTGACTCGCCTTTTGAAAGACATTTGACCTTTCTTTGCTCATTTCTTTGGTTCCCAGCACTATTTTAAACCTTAAACTACCAGTTTTTTTACTTTGTAACTCAAACTAATTTCAAACATCGTATGTGTTAAAAATACCTTGCGGTAGCCGTTCCGCAACAGTACGTAGATTCCTTCATCTGATCGGCGGTCACTGATTACTTGGCGTGATCAGCTTATTTGGGTCTGCCGTGAGGACAAGCGTACTTTACGACACGTCAACTGTATTGGCGGGGAAAATAGAATACAAAACGGTGAGGTCAGAGGGCTAGGCCCGTATCATCAATG